AATCTGTCCTTTTTCATACTCACCTAAAGAATTTCCTATGCTCATTGGGGGATAAATAATTTTTTTCAAAGAGATATCAAAACCACCATGTCCCCGAGAAATGTTAAAAAAATTTAAGTTCACTTTTCTTAATCAAAAAACATTAAATAATAGATATCATTATTTTAAGTATGTGTTTGTATTTTAAAATTTGAGTTAAATGAGAGGTCACATTTAATTGTAAGACTAATTATTTATTCTAAGCATTTTATAGTAGCTTATATTAAAAAAATAAAATTATGAAGTATTTTATTGTAATAAAACAAAACGAATGTAATATTTATCATTTCATAAAGCGTGTTTTTAGGGGGAGTGTCTTAAAATTTTGACGCACTTCTTAAGAAAAAAAACTTAACCCCTGAATTATACTTATATAAAATAAGATTTAATACAAGGTATTTTTAAAATTATTTTAATTACAACGTTAAACACGAATAATTATTTTAGAATTGTATCTTATTTGATTTTGCACGGGAAACATTTTTTTAGATGTCTTAAGATTTTGACGCGCACTGTATATAGATGATAAATGAATAGTTATTTTTATTTTTACCCACCAAATTACAAAAAATAATTAAATAAAATTTGATTTGAATATTTTTAGCGGCTGTAATACCACGGTTACCAAAGCTATAAAATGAACAGTATTACGAGAAAAATGAAACAAAATCATTTTATAATAAATCAAATAAGTAAATTATCAGAAAAAAACAACCAAAAGGTATAGCTCAAAAAAAGTTTTTTATCTTCTCTTGACGTCTTAGAATAATGTTAAAAAAATAATTTTTTTCTTGCAACTGGGTCGTCACGGGGGCCAGAATAGAACCCTAAAACTAAATTCTCTGGTGGCTATTTCTACTAAATCAACCTTTTTATTTTATAATTTGTTTTCTTTTAAATGACACGATCCTATTACACTGTTGATAATATTTTGGCAAGAGGAAAAATGTTAAAAATTTAAAATTATCGAAAATACATTTTTTTAATTTTAACTAAATTCAAAATTGTTTAGTTTTAATGAGTCCAACAAAATTATACAAAAAATCAAATACATAAAAAGTATTAGTTTTTAAAATAAACTTTTAATCCTTGAAATTTTAACTTTAATATTGATGTTAATTTCTTAAAATTTTGATATCGTTGCCAGAAATAGGTGGCAGGTTGGTGGTCTTTAGGTAGTATTCAATTAAACTTGTATATTGATTGCATTTTTGTGGCGCTATTTATATTTTTAGTTTTGATTAAATCAAAACTTTCTTTGATACACCAATCATTACAAAGATACAAATAAATTTATTGGTTTTTATAAATGTAATTGTTTTAGATTACACCAATAAATTTAGGATTTAAATGTTATAATTATTGATAGCAATTATATGAAATTTTTGGCTAAAAATAATTTTATTAGGCAGATTTTACAGGAGACAAAAAAAATTATTTTTAGCCCTTCTTTAAAAATGAGAAGAATTATGATGACAAGCAAAGAAATACAAAATTTGTATTTTCAAGTAAAATCGTCAAAACAAAGGCAAAAATGTCCTTGTTGTTTATCTAATACTCGAATAGAATGCCCCGATGGCTTTTTTGCGATGCAAATGGAAAGGGTGCAGATTGTTATTTATTACCTGGAAAAGCACTTTTTTCAAACGTTCACACCTTGACCAAATTTTATTGCTTAAAATAATTAATTTAGTTTACAAGTGCTTCTTATGGTCTAATGGCGCACATATCAGGCTGCAGTAAACAAAATATAGTCAATACTATTAAATAAACTACAGATCTTAAATATTTATGAGGGATATCTTAGAGGCGTAAAACAAATTGAAGAAAACAACATTGTTGAAGAAATCGATGAATCAAAAATAGGAAAGAATGAATATAACAGGGGAAAGTTTCTTTTGGTGTTTTGGAATGGTAGAACGTACCACCGATAAAAAAACAATTTTTATTCTTATTAAAAAACGTGACAGGCAGACCTTAATTTCTTTTATTTAAACACGCTAATATTGAATCCACAATATACTCAGATATGTAGAAAGCTTATTTTAATTAGGGCTACATTTTAAAAAACATTATATGGTAAATCATTCAGTAACTTTTAGGGAACATGAAACAGGTGTTTATACTAACACAATAGAGGGAAACCAGCGTTCATTAAAAGCCTCTATACCTGATAGGTGCAGAATAAAAAGACCTGTTCCTTTTTTTTTCTAGATATATGACTATTAGAAATAAAACCGAATTACCACTAAAATTCTTAATAAAATATTAAATTATGTTTGTTTTTTTTTAAATTTATGTCTTTTTGCAGGTTGTCTTCAGCAATAAAAATTGAAAAAGAAGGGCTAAAAATAATTTTTTTACTCCCTGTAACATCTGCCTAGTAAAGCTATTTTTAGCCAAAAGTGAATTTTCTTGAACTTTATTTTTCTATATATAAAAATTTAACAAGGAGGGTGACACAAAAATTAGAAATTACGATGGACAAATATTATCAAGAATTTACAAAGATGGACATAAAAAAAATTTAATGATTTACAGTTAATAAAACCCCTTTTATTATTTGCATTCTCCATGAACAATACTTTCGTTATGACCACCCCAAGTTGCCACAGAACAATAAGTAAATTACTAACGCACTGCAATAGTTCTTTTGCTATATTTATTGCTTAAGTTTCAAAATAATTTTACCTAACAGGTGTTTTTTTGTTCTTTCTAAAGAATTGAGCATTTTTTGGTAGAAAAATTTTAAAGTTCATTTCTTAATGGGTTATTTGATGGTACGGATGTAAGTAGCGCCTTACAAAAGAATGCGACCAGTCTTAAAGTAATACTTTAATGATCTTAGGATCTTATCATTTCCGTCTGTTCTTTGCATTCTTTTAAAATAACCTGTATTTTTGTAAAAGTTTTATTTATGTTTTTCTTCATAAAAGGCATAATTTAGAATTTAAATTAATTTAATAGTAAAATTTAATTATGAAATTCGTCAGTTTTCTTTACATATTACTTCAAATGTTTTTTAAACAAAATTATTTAATACATCTGGTTGTAATATCACAGTAAGTTTTGATATAAAATTAAAAAACGTAAGATATATTAATACTTTATAAAATATATTAGTTGAATCATACATGTTCAAAATTTTTATCAATAACATCAATGATGTCTTTTAAAGGAGAAATGAATCAATTTATATCTGTAGATAAATAAGTAGCAGATTTAAAAAAATTACTTCTTTTCCTTTTCAAAAAATCGTAAGAGCCCTCATATCTTTCAATCAGGATTTTTATAATTACAGCAATACATTCAAATTTTACAGTTTTTGAAATGTTTGTTAATCTTTGTATGATATCTTCACATTCATTATAAATAAAATTTATATTATTATACTTAAGACTAACAGACAAACTAAAAACCAAGAAATACTTTACCACTTCTTTAACAAACATGTTGTATTCTATTATTAATTCTTTTATAGACTCACATGAAGATTCTATAATGAAGGAACTTTTTTCTATATTTTTTATTTGACATTGAATACTGTTGTTAAAATTAATTCTTCTATAATAATAAACACGTTTAAGATTCGATAGTTTAAATATAATTTTTTCGTTCTTACTTCCAAACAAGAAAGCTTTTTTTGAAATTAAAATTGGTTGTTTTTTAGCTTTGTCAAATGCAGATTTAAAATGAGTTAGAACATCTTTATAAAAATCTAAAAATAAATCAAAATTTGTCAATTGTTGATTATTAAATTGTACTGTTTCATTCTGTAATATAGAATTCCAATTCAAATTTTTTCTAGAAATTAGATATATATCAAATTTTTCGACATAAGAATCATAGAGCTTATTCAATAAGTCTTGTTTTTTTTATGTGATATATTCACTTCGGGTTTTTTAAAATCATTTTGATTATTTATCGTCTTATAAAAATTTATTACTGCATCATATTGTTTCTGAAGTTCTAAACAGTTAGATGGATTACTATTGTATATAGAAGCATTATTTTGAAAATTTTGTTGCCAATGTCTCGAATTTTCAGATGTTATGCATTCATTATTATTGTCCAATTTAAGTTTTTTTCGAACCGGACTTTCAAAAGTTTCATTATTTTTAAAATACTGAAAATTCATTGTATCAAAAATGGGATTATTTGAATCAGAGCTTTGCATATTTTTATATCCTAATTCTTCTTCTAAATCTAAGACATTTTCAATAATCTTCTCCAGCTCAAAGTTTTCTTGTTCCAAAAATTTCTTTGTATTGTTGGTGTTACTTGAAATTTGGTTACATTGGCTTTTATTTTTTGCCTCATAAAAATTTTTCATATTACTTATGAAAAATTCTTTCGTAACGATTGATTCAAAATTTGTTGAAGTATATATTTTTGTAAAAAAATAGAAGAACCTGAACATTTTATGGGATAAAATTTAAAATTAATATTTTTTGAAATGTTTGTTAATTAAAATTATAAAAATTAAAAAACGACAAATTAAAAACAATAATAAAAGTTTATGTTTCTTAAAAAGTATTTGTGTCATGGCGCGATCTAGTATAGTGTATATGTCATGGCCAGCACTATATCAAGAAATTTAATTGACTATTTCTCAATCAATATTATTAATTTTAGATGATTAAAAATTTTAATTACAATTTTCAAAGAATTAAAAGCAAGAATAAAAAGAGAAGCCTAACATTTTAAAATGTATATTAAAAGACCTTGAGAAATATATGAGCAAAAGAGCTTAAAATCTCTTAAGCTTAGTAATAATTATAGTTCGAATATAGTAGAAAATTACTTTTAAGCGTGAAGTCATCCCCGTAGTGCACTACAGCAACTTTTCAGTATTTAATTATTAAATGTCGCCAGCCCAGCCCGCACTTGAGTCACAGCCGCGCAAAGTATTTTTTCTTACAAATTTTAATAATTTCTCTCTTGGTGTCCATATAAAAATGTTCTTAAATCACAAATTCAAACTTGTAATATTTTATAGTTAAAAATATAAAACCTACGGTGTAATGTGCTACGTAAATTCAGATCAATTTTGTAAAGATAATTTTATAAGTAAAGATGTGTTGAGTTAATATGAGTCTAAAAGATTTTATTTTTGCAATATATTTAAGAACAAACAAAATAATTTTTAAGATTTGACTAGTTTTTTCATCCCGTAGCTGTAATAAAAACACGCATTGAAAAGCGACTACTAGTTGATTAAGAGAAATTTAAGTGAGACAGATTTTATTGTCGCAGTAATAATAAAAAATAATGTGAATCCTCAGCTATGGAGAGGTCGGAGAAGATAAAGCGTTGTATTCGAAGTTATTTATTTGATGTTTACTCTCGCTTTTTGGAGGGTTCCATTTCTCATTTCTGTATGTTTGCTTTCGTTTATTTTTTTTTTCATAACAGAAGTTTTATTACTTTTTTAAATATTTTATTAAATAAAAATCATCTGATAGGATGATTGACATATTAGACTCTAAGCTTTTTACTTTGTATGAGTGTTATAAACTTGTCTATTAATTACTTAAATCATTCTCTATTAGTCAAATATCTTGTCTATTTGTTAGAAGTTTTATGACAGACCTTGTTTTGTCAGCTGACAGGTAATATTGACGTAGTTTTACTGATAAAAGGTTTCAAGCATGTTAAAAATACGGGTTTTAATAAAAGATTGGTTTACAATAAATATTTCTCTTTAAATAAGCTATACTTTTAAATGTTCATCTTTTTTCTTCAATTTGTTTAGGAGCAAGTCTTTATTTCGTTGTTCCACTTTCATCGAAAAAAATTTTTTTTTTAACCCCAAGCCATGGCAAAAAAATAACTAAATTCGAGTCAAAATTTGGAAAGTTAATGATCGAATGTCAAAGTTATCTTTACAATGCCGATAGTGTTGCAAAAAGGGCCTCAGATGGCGCTGTATTTATAGGAAAGGCTGCAAGGAAAAACTCTTTACAGATGTTGATTTGAAATTTTTAAATTATGTAGATCATACGCATAAAAAAAACGATTGTATATTAATTAAAAAACAAATGACTAATATAGCTAAAAAGCAAGCAGCTGCTACAAATGAACCAACAAAAGATATTTTGGTTCATTCTTTTGAAGACATTGGTTCAGATTTGCTAGTAAGTTTGCGAAAAATTAAACACTGAGTAATTTAGTTTCTCACGCACGTAAAAAACAATTAGAAAAGCCAGAAAGTACTTACGATGATATTCCTAATAAGTACAAAAAAAACTGTAAAAGTAATGACTTTTTTCTATATGATTCTGGCTACAATGATCCTAACAGAATTATTTTCTTCGGCGTGAAAAAATCTTTTATTACTGACAGAGTGTAAATATTAGATTATGGGTGGAACATTTTATGTTGCACCTACAGATTTTGAGCAGTTATATATTATACAATCTGATGTGCTAAGGGTTAATGTTGGTTTATTATATGTATTAATGAAGCATAGAACGACATTATATTATGATAATGTTTTTTGTAACTTGTAAAAATTAATCAATTGAAACATGCCTGAATACATTATTATTGATTTTGAAATAGCAGTTATTGCAGCACTTAAAGATGCCTTTTTAACTACTAAAATTAAAGGATGTGGATTTCGCTTTGTTCAAGCTGTATGGCGAAATATAGGCAGATTGCGTTTAATTAGAAAATACAAAAAAAATTCAATTTGTTTTTAGAATGTTTTTATCACTTGCCTTTGTGTCTTATAATCACGTTAAACTTAAGCTTAATAAGATTGTAACTTGGATTATTAATGAAAATAAATATAAATAACTGAAATTATTCATTAAATATTTTGAGAAAACTTATATTGGAGTTGATGGCTTTGATAACAGTATCTTTAAGAAACCTCGATTTTCTTTGAAATTTTGGAATGTTTTATGATAAAATCTTGGATTGTATCCCAAGAATAACTAACTCGTTAGAAGGATAGAATAGAAATATTAAAGAAATAGTAGAAGTTTTCAACCCAAATACAATAAATTTAATTATAACATTACAGGAAGAACAAGTGATTGCTGAGAAAAGAATGCTAGAAAAAGTAAGTTATTTTGAAATTATTCTTGTTAATGAAAAAGAACAGACCTTGCTTGAAATATGTAAAATTATGATAAATATAAAGAATTGATATTTCTTAAAGCAATATGTAGTATTTATAAATGGAAAATATCTGTTGCTAAGGAAAAATAAAAATTATTTTAATTGGTAAAAATTTTAAATAACAGCAATTTAATGCTAAATTTTTTTTAAATATAAATAAAGGTTTTTTTGCAATAAATATGCATTATTGGTGCAACTTACACACTTACTATAGGGTTAAAAAAAGTAAAAAAAAAAGAGCAATATTTTTTATTAAATTTAATTGCAAAACTTGTTGATTTTTTTTTTAAAAATTTTCTTCAAAACTGAAGTTCATAAATAAAATTTTTGAGGTTTGCTTTCATAACTCCACGCTCTGTACGAAATTCAGTCTTTAAATGGCAGGATAAATTTTTAAATTATTCGTATGTTCACCATTTTTTTTTGTAAATCCAATACTGTGATTTACTATTTAATAAACAAAACCAAAATCTACAACTGCTGATCTATACACGCAAAACCATCTATTCTTATAATAGTTTTTTTTCAACATAAATAATTAAAAGATTCATCATTATATTGACCGAGCTGTTTGAAACAATTTAAAAAAAGCAATTGTCGCTTTCTTCTTCAATTCCACTCACTAACTATATTGAACCTGAAACTGTATCTTGTGTTGAAGTGGGATTGGTGAATAACCAACTTTTTCAGATTGTTTTTTTATCAACTTGGATAATCTTACTGAGTCCGCCTATTTTAGAAAAAAAAATTAAATTTCATTATATATTTTTACTAAAATAACATCTTATAAGAAACACAGTGCGCGTCAAAATCTTAAGTCGCCTAAAAAAAAATAAAACAGGACAAAGTTTAAGAATTATAGTTCGTGCTAAATTTTTGTAATTTAAATGTTTACGTCAATATTCTTTATTAAATCTTATTTTATATAAGTATAATTCAGGGGTTAAGTTTTTTTTCTTAAGAAGTGCGTCAAAATTTTAAGACACCCCCCTAAAAAAACACGTTTTATAAAATTGTAAATATTACATTCGTTTTATTTTGTTACAATAAAATACTTCATGATTTTATTTTTCTAATCTAAGCTACTACAAAACGCTTAAAAAAAATAATTAGTCTTACAATTAAATGTGACCTCTCATTTAACTCAAATTTTAAAATACAAACATATGCTTAAAATGATTATAATGTTTTTATATTTAAAAAGAGTAAATTTAAATCTCTGTAACTTTTCTCAGGGACATGATGGTTTTGATGTTTTTTTTAAAAAAAAATTATTCATTGATTTTATCACCACTTTCTTTAACAACGTCGATCATACGCTTCTGCATTCCATTAACATATTTTAACAGATTTTCGGGTGTAATACTTGACCAAGCTACTTATATCGCAAAATGTAAATCTTGAATATTATTATAATGTGTCCCGTCTCTATAAATCATTCTCGACATATCTGCCCATAAATTTTCAACAGGATTAAGATCTGGACTTAATGGTGGCCAGTTCAT